CGGGTATGTATCAATGATTAAATCGAATGCAAAACGGCAAACAAAGCAGAAAACAAAATAAAAGCAATAATAAAGCAGTCTGTGTATTCACAACGAGTTTGCTACAGATAAAAGGCACTCATGGGAAATAAATACGGACTAGTATCGTCCCCTGTTCTGAAACTACCTCTGTTTTGCTCCCCTCGTTCCCTGAAAGATTTCCATAAGGTGAAGAAACACACTGACCATAAATTTTGGTCGCCCAACTATCCAATGAGAGGGTTTCAATTTTCCTTCCCTCCCCACCAATCAGACAAGCTTTAGATACTATCTACTTGGATCCTTTCCTACTTTACGCCATCATCAACTGTCGCCCTAAACAGATTCGAGGCCCATCGATAGGCTGTATGGCCTGATTGTAAACAGGTACGCATAGCAGAGACGCCATTTCAGAGCGTATTGCATCGCTCACCAGTTCCTCGATGCCTGGGGAATATGGGGGGGGGGGCAATGCTATGCGGTGCTTCAGCAACTGTATCACCCATCACTTTGCTTGAGAGACAAACCTCGCACTCATTCCGAAATATGTTTCAAGAGCTGCTACTCCTTTTATATTACCACATGAACATCAAAATATACGTTCGTACAATGGAGTATGTTTAATAGCGAATGACTTCTTCACGACCATTTGCACCGTACCTATGCCAACGTTAAAGATAAAATAGAATCCCGTTCCCGCGGATAGATAATTTTTGTGCGCCTCTACTCTTGCACCACTACAGAGTAAGTAAAACGTTTATTGCACACAGATTCAGTATAACGGAAAAGTCCCTGAGACTTAAAACAGTCAAATATTGCTCCATGTTTCCCCTACCAACGCTGAGGCTCGATGGCACATGAATTCGTAATTGCAACACCTAAAAAAATAATGGATCCTGCTTTCCGTGATTGAACACTGGCAACGAAAAGGTAGCATAAAAGAACAAAATCCGCTGAACTGTAAACTCCTGAACCGCTGCGATGGTTCAGAGTTTAGTATGCTTTTAAAATAATTATATCAAAAGCAACGACGACTGTCATTTAGGACAGAACAAATAAGAGTACACCACCCATCTGCATCAACTTCCGAAAAGGCACGAATCAAGCACTTCACCTAACATCCTAGGAACCAAGTCTGAAGACTCATAAACAGGAATGACCGAAAATATAAATACGTTTGATGGATGATAACACAAAACAGAGAAAACAACCTCCGTGGCATAACTTGAGGGTTAATACCAGTGAAACCCGGCGTCGCAACGCTGCCTACGTACGCCATTTACATTCACGTGATATTACTACACTGAACAGAAAAAATGGCGTTTAACTGATATGCTGTTTTATTGCTAGCCCAAAAAATCAACTTTTTCAACAGCAAATGTCTTGTATTACGCTGCTGTCTCATACGACGAACTGAGAAAAAATGAGAAGCATTCGTCACTGAGACATTCATCATTGGCAGAAACTATTTTTAACAGCCTAACAGTATTTATGGCCCTTCGTCTTAATCACTACTTTGCATCGTAATTGGAATTAGATTGCCAATTTCGAATGTATGATTGTGTATGTTCGTCAATTTGAATCGTTTGGCACGTAGGAAATATCTGTGACTCTTTATGTCAACTGGATTTTTAGTTTTTCTAAAAAAGTCCTCCCTGAATGCACATTCGCCTCAGTCATGTTTGCAGTCCGGAGTTCGGGCTTTATTGACACTCGAAGCGCACGCATTTTAACGAGCAACCCTACCAAACACAACTCGCATCCGATCACCTCGTCCTCAAGTCACACTCAGTATCCAATCAGTGATAAATTCCGTACCTGCTGAAATCCCTGAGACATCCAGTTTTCCCACTGCTCTTTCTCCTTCATTAAGGCAGCCCGAAAAAATTCCTTCACTGAGTTCATGGCCACCCAACGTTGTAGCTATGTAGCAGCAACGAACGTATGAATGAAGATGCGCAGATCTGAAACAATATACACTATACGAAAACGTTCGTCAAATTAAAACGCGGACAAAGCGGCGCGGAACAAACGGTTCGAAATAAACGACGAGAAAACTCGGCGGCGTGATACCGAGCTCTCTGTTTCTGAGTTAGACGAGAGCACAGACGTCGCCCCTACGCAACACCCAAACCAACACTTTGAATCAAGGACGCCGCCGCTGTTCGCTTAGTCCGTTGGTCGTCTGAAGACCATAACCAACGACTGATGTAACAGCTCCTGCCGACGACCGCCAATCCCTATCCAATCATTCTGCACATCTTTCTAGCTTGAAAAATGAACAACGACGATGCGCTGCAATGAACAAGATTGTCAGTGATTTTCAGTGTCCTGCATTTTCTCGGGCAAAGCACAAAAAACGATGAGAACGATGCAAAAATAACAATGAGAAAAAACTCGTTTGAGCTTGCGCCGTCCATCGATTTAACGCGCTTTTGCAGACGGGGGATGCGGCATCGATGACAACCAGAGGAAAACCGATAAGAAATCACACCAGACAACGGCTGCAACGACGGCGAAACTCATTGCGAACTGTCTGACGAG